GGTGTGTAGGAGGCTATGCCTTCTAGGTTTGTGTAAGTTAACTCGATACTGTTTGCACAACATTTCTCAGGCTATATCCCTGTCATTAAGTGACACATGACTGTAGTTATTTAAAGGAAACTGAATTGTGTGTGTGTGTGTGTGTATGAGTGAGTGTGAGTGTATACATGTGTGTACGTGGATTTGGGTGCAGATTTAGAGCTGAAGGGTATTTCCAGGAGAGAGAGTGGCATAAGCTCTAGGTAGTAAGGGACTATTGTAGGAAGTATTTTTAGCTGGGGCTGGATATGATTAGGTCTACATTTTTTAAAAGATCACTCGGGCTGTAGTGAGGTAGTTTTATGTGTCTAAAAACTTCTGCATTATTGCTGAGAGATACCATATGCAGAGAAAAGAGCATGTGCTTGGGATCAAACAGAGCAGACACAGATGCTCACTAGCTGTGTGACTGAAAAAAGCAGGTAACTTCTCTGAACCTTATTTTCCACATGCATAAAGTGGGGAGAGCAATACTTTTCTTATTGGACTTTCTAAGGGATTGACTATCTTACATCAGTAAAACACCTTGCATATAACAGACCTGGGAATAATGCTAGTTTCTGATGGTACTCATCCTCTAGGTGCTGTTGCCCTTTGGAAGAAAACCAGAAGAATACAGCCAACACTGGCATCTCAGATCAATGTTGGCAAGTTGTGAAACCAGCCACAGGTTGGAGAAGTCCTGCACAATGGGTGTGTGTGTGGGTGGTGAGACTGTGAGTAGGATGGGTCTTCTAGGCGGTGTCAGAAAAAGGGGAAGAAAGTGGTATGACCAGTTCTCGCTGAAAAAAAGGACATGAGGCCAGATGTGGTGGCTCATGCCTGTAATTGCAGCACTTTTGGAGGCTAAGATAGGAGGATCACTTAGGCCTGGAATTTGAGACCAGTGTAGGACACATAGCAAGATCCTTTCTCTACAAATAATTAAAAAAATTAACCTGGAGTGGTGGCGTGCACCTATAGTCCCAGCTACTTGCGAGGCTGAGGTGGGAGGATTGCCTGAGCCTGAGAGGTCAAGGCTTCGTGAGCCATGATCACACCACTGCTCTCCAGCCTGGGCACCAGAGACAGAGAACCACCCTGTCTCCAAAAAAAAAAAAAAAAAAAAAAGACGTAAATAATTTACACACAGAGAATGTTTATCATCAGGGACAGACTGGCAGCCAACTATTCAATAAGATCTTTCTCAAAGACTGGTACAGATCACATTAGTTCCAGCAATAAAGTTTTCCAAGTATTTCATTTAATTTCCCTCTTCCATAGTGATACATTGCTCTTGATTGAGAATAAAAACATTAAGAACATTCTGTGCTTTCTCTTCTCTTTTCTTCTTTTTCCCTTCCTGTCCTATTTCTTTCTTTTCCTCCTAACTTCTATCTTAAACAATTAACCTCTAAGAGTTGGACCTGTTTTACATCCTCCTCTTACTGGAACTGAATGCTGGTTTGAGCAAAGACCTATGTTCTCAAGTCAGCATCATGCTCTACTCTCTCACGCAACCCTCTGCTTTGTCTAATCATCTTTCATTAAGTTTCATGTCATTTGAGTGCAACTCTTTCCCCTTTCAAGCTGCCCTTAACGTTCCTTGTATCCTGCTTTCAACTGGATAGAATTTATGGGGAGATATCCAGGGTAAACCATGCTTTGTTGAAACATTATTTCATTCAATAAATATGAATAAACAACTGAGACACACAGTCACACTCACATAATCTTGAGTACCTATTGTGTGCCTGGCAGTGTTAATACCAGATACATATTGGTGAATAAAACAACCATAATCCATGTATTTGTGGGAGAGATAGACTACACACACTTTAGTATATGTATATAATAATAAATAGTGATAAGTTCCAGAAATAAACAGGGCACATTAACAGAGAATACCAAGGCGAGAGGGAAGAAGTTGATTTGGCATGACCCTGGAGGCATCTCTGAAGATAGGAAATTGCAGAAGGAGGTGGGTCAACTATGCAGAAAGCAGGAATCAATGCACTTAAAACGGAAGGAAAAGTATGAGTGAAGGTGCTGAGGTAGGCAAGAGCTTTGTGTGAGGAACTGAAAGGAGACCAGTATGGCTTGGGCATCAGGTGTAAAGGGCAAGAACAGCCCAAGATGAAGCTGTACAGGGATTAGATTGTGCTGGTCTTTGTAGACTCTGGGTAAGAATTATGAGTTCTATTTTAAATGCATTAGGTAGACATTGAAAAGCCTTGTGAAAGGCATGTGATTATCTGATTGTTATTTTAGAAAGATTTCCTCCAGCTTCTCTGTGGAAAATGAATGGGAGGAACAAAGGAAAATACAGGAAGCCGGGTGCAGAGGCTATCACAATGGTCCAGGAGGGAGATGGTAGTGGCATGAACCAAGATGGTAGAAATAGCCATAAGAAAATGGGCATGTATCATGCTTATTTTGGGAGCAAAAATAAAGGCATAGATTTAGGGTTGAGAGAGTGATGAAGGATGATTTATAATTTCCAGCCATTTATTGAGTGGAGGAAAGGCTGAAAGAGGGGTGGTTTGGTGATGAAATCAGGAGGTTCATTTTGAAAATGTACTTTGGGATTCTGGGCAATATGCAAGAATACATATCAAGTAGGTAGTTAATTTATAAATCTGGAGTTTAGAGAGGAACTCAAGGTCATAATTACAAATTATAGCTCCATCAGTTATTATATAGATGGTGTGTCAGTGGGAGATAATCAAATAAGATTTTTAAAATGAGGCACCCAAATATAGTGGATCAAACAAGGCACAAGTTTCTTTCTCATTCATGTCATGGTTCAGAGATAGGTGGGTGGTCTAGTTAGACAGCTCCACTCCACAAGGTCATTCAGGGATTCATGGCACTTTCATTTTATTTGTCATCCCTTGAATATTATTTTTCTCTAAATGGTGGAAATTGGTTTAATAGGACCAAGATTATATCCTATCATTCAGAAAAAGGGAAAAGATAGCACCTTCTTCTTAAGGAAATGACCCTGGAGTAACACGTTACTTAGCTGGAAGAGAGGCTGTAACATAGAGTCTATAAACTGGATGGCTGTAGGCCACCTGATGAAATGTCAATTCCATTACTAAAAAGAAGGGAATAGATACCAGAAGACAAGACATACTGTCTGCCACAGACAGTAAAAAAGGTGAAGGACTGAATGTACAGGGTTTCTCAATGTACCAGCAGCACTTTGGACCAGATAATTCTTAGTTGTGGGAGGCTGCGCTGTGCATTTCAGGATTGTATACTCACCATCAATGATTAGTAGTGTCTCCAGCCTCTGACCTCGAGAAGCCAGTGACATACTCTCAGCAGTTAGAGTAAAAAATGTCTCTAGCTATTGTCAAATGTCCTCTAGGGAGCAAAATCACACCCTGTTGAAAACTACTGGGTTACATCAGGAGAAGGAGTATAGACAAAGGAGTGGTGCCACTGGGGTTTGAGAAGTGTCACCATTTAAAGATTGAGTACAAGAGTAGTAAAGGAGACAGGCAAGAGGTAGACAACGGTATAAAATGAAAACCAAACCAAGACTGAAGAGTGCCACAAAAGCCAACATAGGAGGGGGTTCCAATATGGTAGGGGTGGTGGACTGCATTGAGTGCTACTATGAAATCAACTGAAATGAGGGCAGAAATGTGCTCACAGGATTTGGTAACAGGGAGATTACAGGTAACCTAGACAAGAGTAAGTGTTGTATAGTGGTGGAGGTGAAACTCAGATTGTAGCCAGTAACAAGAAAGTGGAAAATGAGTAAGTGGACACGACATTTGTAGACAACCCTTAAATAAAATGTACAGAGAAATGGAGCAGCATCTGGAGGGTTATTAGAGTTCAAAAGAGGTGTGTTTTTATTTATTTATTTATTTTTTGTTACCCAGGCTGGAGTGCAATGGCGAGATCTCGGCTCACCGCAACCTCTGCCTCCTGGGTTCAGGCAAGTCTCCTGCCTCAGCCTCCTGAGTAGCTGGGATTACAGGCACGCGCCGCCATGCCCAGCTATTTTTTTGTGTTTTTAGTAGAGACGGGATTTCACCATGTTGACCAGGATGGTCTTGATCTCTTGACCTTGTGATCCACCGGCCTCAGCCTCCCAAAGTGCTGGGATTACAGGCTTGAGCCACTGCGCCCGGCCGAGGTGTGCTTTTATTTTTAATGAGAGATTAAAGAGTGCCATAATCCAAAACTGTGAAGTGGTTGGGACTGCATTTAACAAGTAAACGATATAAAATATTAATATTACTCTATCAATTAGAGATTAGGTGGGCAATTGTGCTTTTAGACCCTGCTATAGATTGAATAATTTTGTCCCCCTCTAAATTCATATGTTGAAATCCTAACCCCCAAGGTTATTTTTTTTTTTCCAAAATTCCTTCCATTTAAATTGTGAGTATAAAATCAGACAGCCGCTGAAGATAGAACACAGTCCCTGGGAGTAATCACAATGCTGTTCTCATTTATAAAGTGGATATGATAAAGCGCTATTTATTTAATTAGCACACGTCATCAACAATTGTCTCATTCCTTGATTGTCTCCTTTTTTTTTGAGACGGAGTTTCACTGTTGTTACCCAGGCTGGAGTGCAGTGGCGCGATCTCGGCTCACCGCAACCTCCGCCTCCTGGGTTCAAGCAATTCCCCTGCCTCAGCCTCCCAAGTAGCTGGGACTACAGGCGCACACTACCATGCCCAGCTAATTTTTGTATTTTTAGTAGACACGGGGTTTCACCTTGTAGACCAGGATGGTCTCCGATCTCTTGACCTCGTGATCCACCCGTCTCGGCCTCCCAAAGTGCTGGGATTATAGACGTGAGCCCCCAGCCCGATTGTCTCCTTTTTACCAGGAGACTTGTTGAGGCGGTCTCTTTGTCTGGGGGCTCTTGTTGAAGCGGACTCATTGTCTGGGTTAATACCTGAGGTTTGTTGTCTCATAGCCACGGAGATCAAGGATGCGGACACAATCAATGAGGTTAAGAGTGGAAATTTAATCAGCAAAAGAAAGAAAATAGTTCTCTGCTATGGAGAGGGGTCCTGGAAAAAGAGGTTGCTGGTCCATGGCAACCTATTTTTTTCATGAGAATTTAATTGAGTGTAGAAATCGAGATGGACAAGTATTTTTCCTTAGCTCTTTGCAGAAATCATTCCACTGTTTTCTGGCATCTATTATTAACTAATGGAGAGACTTTTCTGTATAATGGTCATTCTTTTGTGAGTAATCTTCTTCCTCTAGGTGATATGGATGCTTTCTCTTTGCTTTTCATATTTTGTTACTTCCCTGTAGTATATGTAGGAGAATTTTGTTGCTCTTTTCAGTGCTAGAAATGCTCTTTTAATGTGAGAATTGAAGTCATTCTTAAGTTCTGGAAAAATTATTATTTGATTTCTATTTCAATATTGCTTTTCCTTCACTTTCTGTGTTCTCCTACAATTTTTTTTTAGACCCATGTGTGACTGCCCTTCTCTCCCCTTCAGTTCTTTTATTTCTTTTTTGTTTTTGTTTTTGAGACCTAGTCTTGCTCTGTCATCTAGGTTAGAGTGTAGTGGCACAATCACAACTCACTGCAGCCTTGATATTCCAGGCTCAAGAGATCTTCCCACCTCAGCCTCCTTAGTAACTGGGACTACAGGCATGTGCCACCATGCCTGGCTAAGTTGTAAACTTTTATTGTAGAGATGGGATCTTGCTATGTTGCACAAGCTGGCCTCAACCTCCTGAGCTCAAGCAACCCTCCTGCCTTGGCCTCCCAAGGTAATAGGATTATAGGTGTGAATTTGTCTAAGGTCTTATGAAGAGACTGGTGAAGCTGAAACTCAAACACAAATTTACCTAATACTAAATAAAGGTCTTACTCATGCAACCACACGGTCACCCAGTAAACACTAATGTTGATGCCAAATAAACTCTGCTTCAGAGTCACAGTTTTCATCCATGGTCTTATTTTTTTCTCCTCTGATTTATACTTGTCTGACATATGTTGCCATTTCTCTGCAAACTTTCAGAGGACTAGGAGGGAAGAGTAGGCTCTAATTTCATCCTAGTGGAGAAAGAGAAAAAGAAATGGAAAATGAGTTTAATTACTCTCTGCTAAAAAGCTGTCCCTTCTCCCCAAACTTAACAATATTAGGATTAAGTCTTCACATGCTGCCATAAGAGAATGGACTCATCCATCATTAGACATATTTTGGAAGAGGGACCGAGGGGATTATTTCCTGAGGCTCTGGATGGTGTATCACTTGAGGCACCTTATAAGAAGGGATACTGTGATCAGCTTTTACACAGGATTGCTGATTTAGGGTGATCATACATCCTGATTTGCCAAAAGTGGTCTTTATTGATGGCTATTACCCTGGCATGATCATTAATGGCACCATCTTTCCTCCCAAGTTGTAAGAGTTTAGAAGATAAATGATACAGTCCCTCTACTGAAGGTCAGAGTAAGGAGAGGTTACAGCAGCTCCCAGCACCATTGCCTTGGGTGAGGTTTCTGCCTCACAGGGAGTTGCAGCCAAGAGCCTGAAGGATTCTGCTTCTCACAGTCTGGATGAATAAATAATACCATAGGGAAGTGAGCCCTACCCATCACTGAATGACTGCTGGTATCCTTGGCTGCTCCAGAGGTGGTAACATCAAGTAGTCTTTATGGCATCTGAGGGGATGAACTCAGGGTAGGAGAAGAGGAGAGGATGTACTCATCCATGAACTCAGCAGTTTGGTGAATAGGAGGACATGGGCTAAGAACTTCAGTCTCAGGGGATCTCATTGAATAAGGGCTAAGTAAAGGAAGACACATTGGGCCTTGTGAATAGAAGTTTTCTTACTGAGGTATTTATAAAGCCCCCGCTTAATCTCAGGAAGAATGTACCTATGTGGGAACAGTTAACCATAGTTATTGAAATTTCTTAGGCCAAAAATTAAAAAGTATATAAATAACCACCTATCTTGGGTCACTTCTTAATTTGGCATACTTTATTATTGAGGATTTGGAGGCACTACAAAGTAATGCAGTGTATTCAGAAGATATTTATGGACTACCTACAAGATGTTGGGCCACTGGGCTCAAGGCTGAGATTGTAAGAAATAGAAACCAGAGTAAGATAATGTTGTTCTTGCTCATAAAGCTCATTCTCAGCATCCACTATGATATACCATTTAAGCAAATATTTTTAGATGCCCCAGACAATACTGTATGTTGTTTATGGAAACATTTATATATAATGAAAATACAAATCATGCATGAGAATAACACAACAACTTTTGGATACTGGTTAATGCTAAAGGAGGTAGGAGGGAAGGAAAGGGATGGCTCTAGGCTTTTGCTGCATGCAAAGCATTTTATTTTTTTGTTTGGTGGGGGGGAATGCTGGGGGTGGGAAAGAGAGAGAGACCTGAAGCAAAAATAGCAACATTTTAGCATCCACTACATGTTATTTAAATCTGTTGAGTCTTAAAATATACTAGTATACTTTTCTAGATGCCTAAAATATTTTATAATTAAAAATTAAAGTAAAAATGGGTGGGTGTGGTCACTCATGCCTGTAATCCTAGTACTTTGGGAGGCTGAGGCGGGTGGATCACTGGAAGTCAGGAGTTTGAGACCAGTGTAGCCAACATGGTGAAACCCTGTCTTGACTAATACAAAATCAGTCAGGTGTGGTGGTGTGCGCCTGCAATCCCAGGTACTCAGGAGGCTAAGTCAGTAGAATCACTTGAACCTGGGAGGCAGAGGTTGCCGTGAACTGGAATCGCACCACTGCACTCCACCTTGGGTAACAGAGTGAGATTCCATCAAAAAAAAAAAAAAAAGCAAAACTCCATCTCAAAAAAAAAATTAAAGTAAAATTGTACCCAATAAATGTATACAACTATAATTTTTCAAATCACAATTAACAAAAATTTAATATTTACAACAGCCTTGCAAGGAAGACAGACCTGTTAAAATGGATGGCCCTTTTGTCATTACAAAGGCTTATCCACAAACGAGCTGGTGAAGAAGAGAGATGGAAAGAGGAAAAGGGGGCAGAGAAGCGGGTGAGGCTGGGGCTTCTGGGGTCATGGAGTCTATGAATAATCTGCAAGTGTGGTTTGACCGTTTCATACAAAGGGATATCTGTTTGCAATTGGAAGCTGTGTGAGGTTCTCCAATGTGAACTTCTTAATCTACTCACATACATGAGCCTGGTGAGAGTTGTTTTTAAACTGAGGGAAGTGTCAGGTTCTTATCCTTGGTGATTCTGGCATAGAAAGAAGTAGCATAGCAGGCACAGAATCAACAACCTTCATGGTTGGTTAGCTCACTGGAAGCAGGAGTTGAGAGCCAGAATAGACTAAAGGGATCTACCTCTTAAGGAATTCACAGACAACCCGAGGAGGACTTTGGATCTTTACAGGGCAGGGCATAAGCATGAGTAGAATTGAAGTAATCTTCCTTAAAGCTGAAGGGCAGGGACATCTCAGTGGACCCTGGGTGATGTGGGACTCAGTAAACCCTTCAATGACAGTCATGAGTGAAACTGGAAAATATAGGGAAGATATTTTCATTAAAAAAATTGGGGGATACATAGTAGGTGTATATATTTATGGTGTACATGAGATGTTTTGTTATAGGCATGTAATGTGAAAAAAGCACATCATGGAGAATGGGGTATCTATATCCTCTGAGTTATAAACAATCCAATTACACTTGTTATTTTAAAAGGTACAGTTGTCATTATCAACCGTAGTCACCTGATTGTGCTATCAGAGTAGGTCTTATTCATTCTTTCTGTTTTTTTTTTTTTTTTAACAAGATGGGGATGATAGAAGAAAGGCAGGGGCAGATAAAAGGTGAGAGGCAGAAAGAAGAAAGTAAGAATAAAAGCAAGTGCACATGATAGGAACTGGGAGAGAGGCACTTGGGGCTCCCCAAGGTCTCCTGAGGGATGCCTGAGCAAGAAGCAGCCATCCAGCTGGTCCTTCTGGCTGAGAAGGTCCCCAGGTCCTCATGGAGCATGTGTGACAATAGAGGACTTGGCTGTTCATACCTTTTCGTGTCCTGAAGGCGATGGTGTTGGAGCATGGTGGCTGGACTTACCTACATGATTTGCTTTGTCCTGCCTTTCAGACTATGGGCTACCAAGTGTCTTTTACAAGGAGTGCCACCTGCAAACATACTGGGTACTTTCTCCAAGTTTCTGGTTTATGACCACAAAACGGGCTGAGGTTCTCAGTCCCATTAACACCATAGGCAAGAAAGTAATAACCTAGAAACACAAGGAAGGGGAGTCATATTTTGCCATCTGCTGCAGTCACTGACCAAACGGTAATCTTTTTATTTTCTAGATCTGGTGCTAGCTCGGGGCTGGTAGCAGCTTAGTTCGTAGGTGGGGAAGAAATTGGGTCACTAGCAGATGGAATAAGAGGTGAGATGATGAGGGAGGGGTAGGCAAGAGGGAGGAGGCAAGAGCTTGGAGGACTTCAAGGGAAGAGAAGCAAAGCAGGTTTCTTGGAAATGAAACTGCTTCCCCACAAGAACAGCCTGATGTGATAAGAGCAAAGTAATGAGAAACAGACAGCTCACATTTCCCTGGAAGTGCAGAGCCAAACAGCAACTGGATTTTGGCTGTTCCCAGATCATTGTATTAGCCTAAGTCCCTTCCCAGGCCCTGAGTGGGAAATGGGGTGGGGGAACCTGTCTTCAAAGGCTACCCACTGACTCCATGGCAAAAAGCTCAAAGCCTTAAGAACAGCAAGCTCTCCTCCCTCCACCTCTCAATCAATATTGCTCTTACCAGCATCACAAATAGGGGGTGAATAGTCCTCCTCAGTCCACTGGGTCCTTCTTTTAAATCCCCCCTCCTGTATCCCCCACAGCTGCTTCACTAAATCATCCAGCTCAGAAAGAGCTGTCTGCACGCTTGCCACTTACTCTCTTGCTGCGTGGAGGGCTTGCCTAATTTTAAGAGGCAGAAGGTAAGTGGAGTCTCCAATTTCACACAGCTTGCTGGGAGAGGGCTTCATTTGACAGCCCTTGTTCAAAGGAGTCAGTGGTGGGATTTGAAGTTGGATCAAACGGATTACCCCTCCCACCCAATGTTTTGGCCGAGCTCCCTCCTAGGCCGGATCCCAGAGCTTTCTGCTGCTTGTAACAAAACACAGTCTGACTTCTTGCACCATGAAATGACCGCAGTTTCTGAAACCTGGAAGAAGCAGCCTGCTTCTTTGCCAGCTGGAAAGGGGAGGAAGGGGCAGGTCTGTAAGAAGGAAATGAGATCTTGACTTCAAGCTGAGAGATCCATGGACCTGAAAAAATAGGCCCGATGTTCTCACCCAGAATCCTCCTCGGCACCTGAGCAACACTAAGGGCAATTCCAAAGCAGAGCTAGCTATTCAAAGGCAAAGAGGGACATCTGTCACTTTAGCAAGAGCCCTGCTGAGGAAGTTAAAAGAATAAGAGGGGACTGGGGGTGGTGGCACACACGTGTGGTTTGTGGTCCCAGCTACTTGGGAGGCTGAGGTCAGAGGATCACCTGAACCTGGGTGACGGAGGCTGCAGTAATCATGATTATGCCACTGCATGTAAGCCTGGGAGACAGACCCTGTCTCAAAAAAAAAAAAAAAAAAAAAAAAGGGTCAGTAACGTAACTTTCTCATGTTTGCTGGAGGCTGGTTCCTCCACAGGGTTTCCTCACTTGATCCAAATGGCCTCTAGATTTTCTTGTCCTAGATCAAGCTTGGTGGAACGTGAGCTCTCTTTTTCTTTTCTCATGGAGCCTGTGCAGCATATTGCTTGAGTTCAGATTGCATGTGAGTGCTGAGCGCCCTAAGTAATGAGCTGAGTGCTGCGGGGGCTGTGGAAAGAATTGAAGACTTGACTTGTAGGCTAACAGGAGGAGAATGACACATGGACTGGTTTATAAATGGCTTAGTTTTAGACTTACAAAAGTGTTCACATGACTGCAAATTAAAAGGAAAAGCATGGGGTACAAAGAAATGTATGTATCTGACACTTAAGAAAAAATTGAACAAGATTCTTATCCACTTGAATTAAAACTCTATTAGGTTAGGGGTTTTGATTTGTTTGATTTCTTGCTCCATCCCCAGTGCCTAGGCATACTGAACATATTAGATACTCAATAAAATTAACTTGAATGAATACATCTATTCCAGCACCAAATCATCTTTCGTAGTAATACTTGCTAGAAATGTTTTCTTCATTTCCTTTATTTATTTACTTATTATTTTTTACAGATAGGATCTCTCTCTGTCATGCAGGCTGGAGTGCAGTGGCATTATCATAGCTCACTGCAGCCTCCAAACTCCAGGACTCAACCAGTCCTCCTCCTCAGCTTCCTGAATAGCTGGTGCATACCCTGCTTCTGGGCATACCACCATGTCTGGCTAATTTTTCAAACATTTTTTTGTAGACATAGGATCTTGCATTGTTGCCTGGACTGGTCTCCAACTCTTGGCTTCAAGCAATCCTTCTGGTTCAACCTCCCAAAGTGCTGGGATGACAGGCATGAGCCACTGTACCCAGCTTTCTGAATTTCTTGCAATTTTATAGCAGCTGGAACAGACTTAGACAATCATCATCGTAAGTCACAACTGCAAAATGCATCTTGCAATGCCAGACTCCAGTGTTTCTAGGTACAGTCCTGCAAAGGAATATTACAGGACCATTAATTTTCCATTCAAGAAAAGACTGTATATCTGTTCATTCAACTAATATTAACTGAGCTCTTACTTGAGCCAGGCACCGTACCCTGCCAGAGTAAGACCTCATTCCTTCCCTAATGGAGACGCCAGTCTGGTGGAAGTGAGAGGCATCATTACTTAGTCAAATGGATAAATACACCATTACAAATCATAATATAGTGATGATGATAGCTAACATTTACTGAATGCATAATTGCATGCTAGGAATTATGCTAAGCATATTGTGTGTGTTATTCAATATTCTTAAAATTGAAGTAGCCAGGTGTGGTGGCTCACGCCTATGATCCCAGCATGTTAGGAGGCCGAGGTGGACAGATCACCCAGCATGTTGGGAGGCCGAGGTGGACAGATCGGGAGTTCGAGACCAGCCTGACCAACATGGAGAAACCCTGTCTTGTAAAAATATAAAAAATTAGCCGGGAGTGCTGGTGACTGCCTGTAATCATAGCTACTTGGGAGGCTGAGGCAGGAGAATCACTTGAACCTGGGAGGTGAAGGTTGCAGTGAGCTGAGATTGTGCCATTGCACTCCAGCCTGGGTAACAAGAGTGAAACTCTGTCTCAAAAAAAAAAAAAATTGAAGTAGTGACTATTATTATTCCTGTTTTACAGATGATGAAACTGAAGTCTTCAAGGAGATTGTATAATTTGCCTATGTTTACACAGCTACCACGTAGAAACTCTGGGATGCTATGCAGTCTGACAGCTTTCATTGTCAACCATATGTGATACTGTGATTACTGCTATGAAGGAAATAATGGTAATTAGGTAATTATTCAGGGACCTGTAACAGTGTGCTCTGACACAGTATTGTGTGGGGAGAGGGTCCGAGAAGGCTTTTCCTGAGGAAATGAGGTTTCAGCAGAGAAGCGAAGGGGAAAAAAGGAGTTAACTAGGCAAACGAGTTGGAGGTTGGAAGAGCTGTGTACGTAGAGGAAACCGTATGCAGGGCGGGCCTGAGTTGGAAAGCAGCATGTTGTACTGGAAGAAGTGAAAGTTCATTTCTTGGGCTGTTGTTCACTTGACAGTGGTGAGGTTGGAAGTGATGATGCCTGTGCCTGTCATGGGGAGAGAAATGAACTGATGTGGGTCAGTGCATTTCTGCTCTGACTGTACCTGAGGGCCCATCGCTATAGCAATGGCCTTATTTTTTTCTATTAAGTTTCAGTTTGAGTTCACGACCACTAGTATATTATCCTTTTCTCAGCCCTATGTCTGTCTTCTCATTAGTCTTTGGATGAAGATGAAACTCCTTGAAATCCCTCCAAGTGCTGTGTGGGCTGGCGGCTTCTCACTCTCCACTGTCCTTTTCACCCTGCTCCCTTCTGCTCTCTGTGCTCCCAGTTTCTTATTACACTGAATTTTTTTTTTTTTGGTCCTTTATTCTCCTGTCTCCCTTTGCCTGAGTGATTTTCCTTTCCCTCTTTGAAGGTTCATGTATTCAAAATTATTTTCTAGCACCTGCTACGTGTCGGGCACTGTTGTAGGCATTGGAGGTACAACTAAAATTCCAATGTATGGAGAGGGTGGGTTAGGAAGGGCAGACAGAAAAGAAAGAGGAAGTAAACAAGGAGAAATACTAGCTCATGATGACATCATGCAGAGAATTAAAGTCAAAGGATCTAATGGAGAGAAACTAGGTGTACATTAGATGGGTGCTTAGGGAAGACCTTTCTAAAGATGTAACATTTAGGCTTGAGAGCTGGACAATGAAAGGAGACAGACAGGCAAAAGTAACAAGGGAACACATGTCAGAAAGAGAGAACTACAAGCTCCATGGCCATAGCTGGGAATAAGCGTGGAATGTTTGAAGAAATGAAGGAAGAACTGTGTGACTGGAGTAGAGTGAGGGGTGGGGCTGGGGGTGGGGGTGGAAAGAGTAACAGCTGAGATCAGAAGGTATGAAGGTCGAAGTCCGGGTGTCTTAGGGCTGTGCGAGTCAGTGGGAGAAGTTTAGATTTTATTCCAGTTCCCACTGGAGGGATTTTAGAAGAGCGACATGATGGGATTTTACCTTTTAGATGAGATTTACCTTTCAGATGAGATTTAGATGAGCTGCTGAGTGGAGAACGAAGTCTTGGTGGAAAGACTGAAATAGTTCACAAGAAAGAGGGGATGTTGATGTCTTGGCCCTGGGTAGTGGTGGGAAGGTGGTGGATTTCGCATACTGTAAGGAAGAGCAGGCAGTGTTAACTGACAAACTGCTTTAGGGTAGGGGGAGTGAGGGAAAGAGAAAAATCAGAATGAATTCCTGAAACTTTGGTTTGATCAACTGGATGGATGGTGGTGCCACTTACTACAGCAGAAAGGCTATGAGAAGAGTGGACGTTTGGTGTGAGCAGGACCAGGAATTCTGCTTTCAATGCGCCAACGTGAGATGTCTGTGCGCTCTCCAAGTGAACTTTCTGGTCTGAATTTTTGAGGGGAGGAAGGACTGAATGTGTATGTGTAAGGGAAATCGTCACATGCATGGAGAGATGTGTGCATAGGGAAGAGAGGGCCCATCTGGTTCACTGCTGCTCAACATTCCCTAGTGTTTCTGGTGTCTCCTTCCTACTGGTGCCTTCCTGATCCCCTGCTTAGATACATCCCCGTTGTAAACACTCGTAACCATCATGTACCTCTCCTTCACAGATCTCAACACAGCTGACATCTGCACTTATTTTTGCAATCGATAATGCAATGATAATGTGACTAGGTGATAGATCCTTGAGGGTAGAGACTGTGTTGGCTTTTGTTCATCATGTGAAGAAAGATCACCCAAAACTTAGAAATAAGGAAAAAAGGATGACTGCATGTTCTTACTATGTCATAGAGCATTGGGTAATAAGCCCGTCCATGGGTCAATTGGTTTCATTTGACTTACTATTTACCTTAATTAAGGGCTATGCTCTGTAAAGTTAGGGCTGAACTTGTAGGAAACTAATAATATGTAAATGATATTTTGTCTAGTAGAGAGAATTATTACCACAAAAATTATGGTTTTACTATACTTTAGAAATTGACTGTTTTTAAAATCCAATTTAGAAATCTTATTCCAGCATTTTTTTTGTTGTTAAACTGACTCTTCCTCTATATGGCTCTCTCTTTTTCTACATATATATATATATGTATTCATATATGTGTATATAGCATATATTTATTTTTATCTTGCATATTTCTTTGAATCAGCTTGATTATCTTGATGAATCCCTCGTGAATGACTCAAATACAACTTTGACATGTGCTTGCTATGTTTTTCATGAGAATTATGTTTTTAATATTTTGAAAATTGTACACTGACAGGCATCTCACATGCACTTTAAGCAGCCCCCAACGCAGTCTGTACTCAATACATATTTTCTAAATGAAAGAATAAACTGGCCTAGGACCTAAT